CTGTCCTCACGGCAAGTGGGAAATCGCACCTGATGCGCAACAAAACTTGCGCAAAGATTAACGGGCAGCCGGTCTACGTTAATCACGATCTGACGCGCCAGCAGCAACAGAGGAGACGCCCGCTGGTGGCGAAGTTCAAGGCCCTGAGAGCTAAGGGAACCCCCCCTGCCACCTGCCTAAGGATGTCATCGTCATGAATGGCAAGCCTTTGACTGACGCAGACATCGAGGATCTGCTCAATCAATAGGAATCAGCCCGGGCAGTCCCTCCATCACACGCAATAAGAAACACCGCAGTGATACAACCACCCACTGACACCAACGACAGAAAGCTAAGTATCACCAGTGCATGCATTTCTAAAAAAGATTCTCCTTAGTTAATTGCCCACATAAATATCTGTGGTCTCCTAAATAAACTGCATGAAGTTCAATACATTCTATTCAAACATAAAATTGACGTCCTGGCAATTTCGGAGACATGGCTGAAAGCAGCAATCCCTGACGGCTCAATCAAACTGGGCTGGCTACGACGTACACAGAAGAGACCGCAAGCTAAAGACAGGAGGTGGTGTATGTATCTACATCAATGACAAAATTAAGCACAAACAATAAATATTACATATCCTCCAAGATATCGAAGCCGTTTCCATCCAGTTATTATTGCAGCACAATCCCATGAACATAGTATGCACGTACAGACCCCCTTCATCCCCCGTCACATATTGGGAGGAGTTGCTCAACACCGTTGATGACATCGAATCACACACGAGAGAAGCTCATACCATTGTGCTAGGCGACCTCAACGTCAACATTGCAGACCACCAACACCAGCAGTACAGGCACTTCCTAAGCTTCTGCCACGCTACCAACTTACAGAACATAGTTACGTTCCCAACCATATTTCCGAGCCAAACGCTGCTAGACTTAATCTTACTACCCCGTACAATTTATCCACCAGCACGCGTCTCCTATTCCTGAGGGAGACAGAGCATTATCTACCACGGCTGTTCCGTTAAGCCATGCGACGCTTCCGATCACCAACTACTAGTTTTAGAGCTGTTGGCTACATTGCACTCTGCGCCGCAGAATTTACCGGTCAGAACCAGGAAGCCTCCAATAAGAACCATAAACGCACAGGCATTCCAGACAGAGATCACTTCGAAGATGTCAATCGTTGAGAACCAACCAACTGACCTCAATGCAAACATTGAACTTTTTAAGGGCTCCATCACCGAAGCACTTGATCATCATTGCCCCGTGAGGATAGTTACCTTTTCCACCAAGTATAAACCCGCACCACGGGTCGACGACGAGCTACGTAAACTGCTCTACCGCAGAAAACGAGCTCATACTGTCATAGACTCCTGCTGAAACAGCCGGGTGACCAGCAACGAATCCAGTCGTTCCGAGCGCTTTCGGCGACAGTGCAAAATCACCATGCGCCGTAAGAAGCCGATTACTTTCAGGCCGAGTTTATTAACAACAGACGGAACCCTAGACGTCAGTGGAGCGCTATGAACAGCCTACTTGGCAGAACGAAAATCAGCCGTGAGCCTGGAGCTAGTGTTGCAGACATTACATCTGTATTCTCAGAAATAGTTGGGCCTTTGCCGCCAACAACGACTTCTGACGCCCTGATGCTGGCACCCGTGCCTGATTACCCATCTAACATTCTGCTTGCTCTGCCGTGTGGCCCCCAGTCAGACGGCACTCTAGTCTCTTTTACCCGAATCACAACGGGGGACGTTACGTTTCATCTCCGTGCTATGGACAGTCGCAAAGCAAGCGGTCCTGACGCCATCCCCCCGCTCGTCTACAAACTTGTGTCTGACCAAATTGCACCAACGCTAGCCTCTCTCTTGTCGATATCCCTTGAAACTGGTGAATTCCCAACGCCCTACAAGCTAGCACACGTCCGTCCGATCCACAAACGTGGGGACGTTTCCGACCCTCGCAACTACAGACCCATCTCCCTCCTTCCTCTCATGTCCAAACCTCTCGAGAGGTGTGCGCTAGAGCAACTTACGCAATACATGGATAGCGCCAGTCACATGGAATCCCTCCCTGCAGTTCAGTTT